AGACACTCAGATCAACGGAAAGAATAGAGAACCCAGAAACAGACCCACACATGTATGGCCAACTAATCTTTGACAAAGCAGGAAAGAGGATCCAATGGAGTAAAGACAGTCTCTTCAGCAAATGGTGCTGGGAAAACTGGACAGTGACATGCAGAATGAACTTGGGCCACTTTCTGACACCACACACAAAAATAAACTCAAAATGGATGAACACACAAAAAAAACCCATAAAACAGGAAGCCATCAAAATCCTACAGGAGAAAGAAGGCAAAAACGTCTTTGACCTCGGCCACAGCAACTTCTTACTCAACACATCTCCGGAGGCAAGGGAAACAAAAGCAAAAATGAACTATTGGGACCTCATCAAGATAAAAAGCTTCTGCACGCTGAAGGAAACAATCAGCAAAACCAAAAAACAACTGACAGAATGGGAGAAGATACTTGCAAATGACATATCAGATAAAGGGTTAGTATCCAAAATCTATAAAGAATTTATCAAACTCAACACCCAAAAAACAAATAATCCAGTGAAGAAATGGGTAAACGACATGAATAGATACTTTTCCAAAAAAGACATCCAGATGGCTAACAGACACATGAAAAAATGCTCAACACCACTTATCATCAAGGAAATATAAATCAAAACCACAATGAGATACCACCTCACACCAATCAAAATGGCTAAATTAACAACTCAGGCAATGACAGATGTTGGCAAGGATGTGGAGAAAGAGGATCTCTTTTGCACTGCTCGTGGAAATGCAAACTGGTGCAGCCACTCTGGAAAACGGTGTGGGGGTTCCTCAAAAACTAAAAATAAAACTACCCTATGACCCAGCAATTTCACTACTAGGTATTTATTCAAAGGATACAGGTGTGCTGTTTCAAAGGGGCACATGCACCCCAATGTTTATAGCAATGCTATCGACAATAGCCAAGGTATGGAAAGAGCCCAAATGTCCATCTACAGATGAAAAGATAAAGAAGATGTGGTGTGACACACACACACACACACACACACACACACACAATGGAGTATTACTCAACAATCAAAAAGAATGAAATCTTGCCATTTGCAACAATGTGGGTGGAACTAGAGCATATTATGCTGAACGAATTTAGTCAGTCAGAGAAAGACAAGACCAGAGCTCTAACCCCTGAGCTATGGAGCCTCATCCTGAGAAAGACAAATATCATATGACTTCACTCATATGTAGAATTTAAGATACAAAACAGATGAACGTAAGGGAAGGGAAGCAAAAATAATATAAAAACAGGGAGGTGGACAAAACATAAGAGACTCTTAAATACAGAGAACAAACTGAGGGTTGATGGAGGGGTTGTGGGTGGGGGGATGGGCCAAATGGGCAAGGGACATTAAGGAAGACACTTGTTGGGATGAGCTCTGGGTGTTACATGTAGGGGATGAATCACTGGATTCTACTCCTGAAATCATTATTGCACTATATGCTACCTAACTTGGATGTAAATTAAGAAAACAACAACAAAAAAGGAGTACCAGATAGAAAAGATCATGTTATAATACAGTCACTTGGTACTCTAAAATCATAGTTCTCACCATTTTTTTCTTCCATAGCATATGGAAAATGATGTTTACATTCTAGACAGAGTCCTGGAAGCATACCAGGTTTTGACAAAATTCTTCCCGCCCTGACAACTTTTTCCAGAACATTTAGACAATACAGGCTGTGGCTGTTGGTTGTACATAATGTTCCTTTCATCCAAGCATGTTCCTTTCTATCCAAAAAGCTAAATCAAACGTTAAGTGAAAATACATTAATACAGTCTGCTTTAAAAAAATTAATCATCCACACATTTCAGTGTTTTGCCTATTCTGAGTAATGAATATTTAAGATATAACTTATAACTGCCCAGACCAATAGTGTCTCATGACACCGTGGTCCGAACTTATTTCCCTACTGTTGGAGAGCTCTATTTATGGCACCTTCTCTGGGGTGCCTGGGTGGCTCAGTCAGTTAAGGGGGCAACTCTTGATTTTGGCTCAGGTCACGATCTCCCGGTTTGTGGGATGGACGGTTTCTGCGCTGACAGCACAGATCCTGCTTGGGATTCTCTGTCTCCCTCTCTCTCTATCCCTCCCCCACTCATTCTTTCTCTCTCTGTCTCTCTCTCTCTCTCTCAATATAAATAAAACAAACTTTAAAACAAAAACAAATCACCTTTTCATTCTCTGAGTTAGGCTAGAGACACAGAGAAAACAACTGGAATGGAGCATGACTTGCAGGTGAGGTGAGCTAAGTGGATGGGGCTGGTATCAGTTGTTTGTGATCTGATAAAGCAAAAATAGTCCAAATTTACCCACAACGCTAAAAAGTATGACTTCTGTAATGAACAGAAAAATAATTTTGCCTTAAGATGGAGAAAAATAAAGGTTTTTTTTTACTCGAAAGTAGAATAACCTATAGGTACTAACCCAAATGTTCTCATATGCGCTGATGTGTCTACAATATTAATAGAAACATTGCCCTTTATGGGTGAACTTTTGTATTCACTGACAACACTGCAGTATATTGTTTTAAATAAGAAATATGTCAGTGAACTTTTAAAAACTGGATGGAACAGACTGTAAGTCTAAAAAATACAATATATTACATGTAAACTGCTATAATGTGATTAGTTTGTTTAAAGGTCAAGAGATCTGATCAATTTCATGGATATAAAATAAGTCTAAAACTGAGCCAATTCAACATGCCCTTTAGGAAAAGGAATTCCTATTATGAATCAGAACAGAATTGTGAATTGCTTACATAAATACGTGTTCTGCTCTTGCTATTATAAAATCAATCCACAACAATCACTTCAGCTTCACGATTATGTTACGTATGAACTTACCTTATGCCAGACAGCATGGTCAGCATGATAACTATGGACATCTTAATAACAAAACCACCTCTTTTTTTGCATCTATGCTGATGGTGTAAATGGCCCCAGACTGTCAATAACTCTTCCAAAGCAAATTTAATAAATGTGAAGACATGGACTAATGTTACCAAAAATCAATTCTCATCACTTATGTTCACCATAGGTGTTAACTCTACAAAAGAATGTGAGTTAAGGAAGCCAAAATGAAAACAGCATTAAGCAACAATTTCAAATTAACCAAAGTAGTAAATTAGAATTCAAGAGTCATACATGCATACATATTAAGAGCACAATTGCTATACTTTTTCCCTGAATTGTCCAGACTTAGCTAACAGTTTTACTACTACTGTTGTACTTTGGTCCTCTTTAATGGAAATTCAAAACATTAAGTGATACACTCACCCTCCCCCCCAAACCATTACTATAAACTTTTATGTTTTAAGAATCCATAATTTTTAAATTATTAACAAAAAGAGGATACAGTATTGTTTTAATCAGATACAAATAGAAATAACTAAAAAGGACTATCTATGCCAGAATAAAGGAGCCAAAGATAAATTTCACTCCTTTGTATCATATAGGCATAAAGCTTATAGAAAATGAATATAAAACAGTTACTATTTTTTGCTAGGAGGTATGCATTTTAAGCACAAATAGTTTAACTGGCTAACATCCCCACCAAAGCAGAAGTGTAAATTTTAGAAAAACAGCCTGTAATTATTTCAATCAAATAAGTGAACACAGAAAGCATTTTGATACTGTTAAATTGCCAAACTAATAATGGTGGACAAACAAACCAAATTCTCCTGCCGCTTGTATTAAAATTACCTCCCAAGCATCATTCAGACCCATTCAGTCCCAACTATAATTCTGTGTTCGCCCATCGTGTGCTTGACATCAACTTGATCTAATAAGTACTACCATGATCTCTGAGATTGCGAAGAATCACAGCGGGAAGGCTATGGGACTGCCACCCCGTCACTAACTCGGCCTCTAGCTCCTTAACGTGGGCCCTGAGCATGAGGGGTGGTACTTTCAGAAGCAGGTCAAGAGGCAGCAAAGCTGAAGAAATAAAAGGGGGAAAGATATGAAACGGTAACATAAATCATACTGAATATCAGGTAGGCATGTGTGATTTTGTTACTGCCAACACGAAATTACCTGGTCTTGGTCTGGATCCTATTCCACCAGTGAAGTCCCTGAAAACAGAATTAGGGGCCGTTACGAGGACTCATTCAACTTGGATTTGACTAACATTGACTGAAAGCCTATACCCCACTATGCTTTACATTGTAAAAATTGAAAGAAGATTATTTTCCCTCAAGATGTTCTTGAGAGCTTAACAAACAGAAGACTAAGCCCATGCAAGCCCACAGCAGACCTGACATTTTACTGGCACGTGCAAAAACCCTATCTCATCACAGTGGTTTAGAAACTCTCAGAATGATTAAGCTGGGGAGGGGCAGAGAGAGAGAAGGTCACAGAATCCAAAGCAGATTCCAGGCTCTGAGCTGTCAGCACAGGGCCCGATGAGGGGCTCAAACTTGTGAACTGCAAGATCATGACCTGAGCCGAAGCCGGCCGCTTAACCGACTGTGTCAACCAGGTGCCTCGGGATTTAAATACAAATAAACATGGTTAATAAATCTCTTACACCGACACTTTCATTTTAAGCATATAATTCTTGACACATAAATGCAACACATACCTTCAGTTACCAAGCAAAACAAAACTGGCACTCGTTTACCCACTGACCAGCTGACGTGCTAGATTAATGGCAAAATCTTTGCATTTGATGGCAAGTTCCTTCCCTTCCTTTCCCGCTCCTAACTCCCCACCATACCAGCACTCTCCTGATCCCATTATTTTCTCTGTCCCTTTCCCAGCCCAAGTTTTCAGAACCTGGAAAAGTCAGTGAAACTTGCCAGACTCGTACAGGTAATACACATCGCCTAGTTGTGGGAGAAGCAGCATGTTTAAAGAAAGAAAATGGGTAGCCCCCGCCCTCAGAAAGAGGGGCATAATCTCAGCAGTGTCCAAAGTGGGCAGGATGCCTCCCGGCTGAGGAGCAGACCGTCTGTTTCAGCACCTCATGCCCTCACATCCATGACATACTTGCTCTATCACAGCAAGTGCCAATGAATAGCCCCGCCCCTTAGCCTTCCGGGTGGGTCTAGCACAGCCCAATAGAAATATAATGCAAACCACAGACATAAGTCTAAATCTTCTGGTAGCCACATTTTTAAAAAGTAGAAATAATTTTCAGAACATATTTTGTTTAACCCTTTATCTTTAAAATATTCTCATTTCAGCATGCACTAAATACAAAACTCATGAGATACTCGACATTCAGTTTTGTATTTAAATCGATATTAAAATGAAATTAAAAATTTCGTTCCTCTGTCACACCAGCTACATTTCAGCTGCTCAAGGGTCACACGTGGCCAGTGGCCTCCATATTCAACAGTGCATTCCGGAGTCACTGTCTTCACAGAAATTACGACTGAGGCTAACAGTCATGTCACATAGCTGCAAAGCCTGTGATACCTCTTGGACTATCCTAAATGTTGAATTAAAATGTAATTTGCGAGGGGCACCTGGGTGGCCCAGTCAGGTAAGCATCTGACTTCGGCTCAGGTCATGATCTCACGGCTCGTGAGTTCGAGCCCTGCGTTGGGGGCTCAGAGCCTGAAGCCTGCTTCGGATTTTGTGTCTCCCTGTCTCTGCCCCTCCCAGCTCATGCTCTGTCTCTCTCTCTCTCTCTCTCTCTTAAAAATGAATAAATATTTTTTTAAAAATTAGAAAAAATGTAACGTGCAAAAATCTTTTATTCCTAAGGTTACAGGTACTTTTGATAGATCATAACCACTCACAGGTCGAGTTAACTAGATGAATCTTCCAGTTGTCCTGAAGAATCCAAAATTCCAAACATTTTTATTTGTTAAAAAAATGGGCTAGTCATATATGTGAAATAGACTATCCTGACAATGCTGAGTTGCTGCCAACTTTGCTACTCCTTAATATAATTCTAAATTCTTCTTTAGGGGATCTAAATGAACTTTAGGGGATCTTTAAAAATAAACATCACACATTCATTCAACAAATATTGATGAAGTGCCCACTACGTGTAGAAACTGTGCCAGACATTAGAGACGGGATGGTGAAAAGAAACAATCCTTAGCCTTGGAACTTACAAGATTATATAGGTATAGCAGAAAAACTGTTAATTTCTCTGCAAATCATATCATGGATCACAAGAAAGCATACTCATCTGAAATTGCCAAATAGAACAGACTAATTGTAGCCAGAAGGAACAACATTTAACTACACAATCGTTAGGTCCAGATGGACAAAAGATTGAAATTATGCAAAGCCTGAGGGAAGTCTGCCTCTAGGACTGGATTGAATGTTTATGCGCAATAGAACATTATGGCTGCAGATGATGGTTTCCCATGAGAGTGTAAGCTGGAAAACCGGCAGAGATGACTTAACACAAAGAGAACAGTCTAGAAATGTTTTCTGGTGAAAAGGCTTAATATAATGAAGCTTGTGTCCTCTGAAACTTTTAAAATGGGCATTGACTAATAGAACTTCAGGCTGATTAAAACAGAATTGCAGAGAAATGGAAGGTTTCAAAGGATTCCAAAAGGTCATGCCTCCAGCTCTCTTCAGATCTGGGGCGACTTCATCCAGAATTTATAACCTAAAGCAGAAATTGAAGCACTGCATCTGAGTGTTAGCCTACAACTTCCACCCCAAACCAACAACAGGTAAGGTGGAGATTGAAGGTTTAGCTTTGTAATTTTTTAAATCAACTTTCCGCTGAATGAATTCAAGTTCAGAGTAAATTACTGGGATACTTACTGTGTTTAGGAGTCCTGGCCGTAAAGAGATGGAGTTCTAGAATTTTATACGTTGTAAAACTGATTCAAATATACTTCTGAACCAAGGAAATATTTTCACACGCATAGGAGGCACATTACATAACTTAATTCAGTGGTGAAAAGTAGTCAATACTATTTGATGTGGGTAAAAAGAAGAAATATTTAACCTTCTGAAATGAGAAGGTTGACTTACAGTACTAAGATAACGCTGTCTGAGGCTACTGCAATCATACCATCTGAGCTAACTAGCATTTTACCACTTAGAAGTCTCTTTCTGGTAGTGACATTCATAAACATGTCCTGTGTGAAAACACGGCATTATGCAGGATTGAGTTCTCCTGTTCAATATGGGCTTTTCACTTATCTATAATGTTAACAGAGGTGGTGTCACTACAGGAAAGGAAAATAGTGACCCTGTGGCTCTCCGTCCTTACTCCAATAACAGCCAGAAACAAACAAGCAATTAGCCAGAAAAGTTTAGAACTGTCACAGAAAAGAAATAAAGTGGTCTTACTGATCATTGTTTCTGTGAGGCTGCTTGATTGTGACATTGGCAGATAGGCTAGGTTGATTCTGGCCAGGAGTGATCAAGTATTCAATTTAAGTAAAACAAGATATGGATTATGAAAAGGGCGAGTAGAGAAACCTACAAGTCAAAATAAGCAAGGCTTCTGCTAAAAGGAGGCAAAACCCATAGGTCCTGAGGTTCTACAAGAGTCTTTCTGGTCACATATATGATGCTGGATGGTCTCAAATGTCCACAATCATCTTTTATGTGACTCAAAGACTAACGCCAGGTGCACATCCTTGGGTACAAATTATGCATATCCTGATTTATCAAAGAAGTTGTGAACCAAAGGCCTCTCCAAGACCGCAAACATCCAATATCTCAAACCAACCTGCCAACTACACCCTGTTGCCTTGGCAACAGGATGCAAGCAGGCATGGAGAAATCTTGTTGCCTGAACAACAGAATCTTTAAGAAAAAAAAAATAAAGTAAAATGGGGACTTATGCTGTGACTATGGCAAAGGCTTGTAGGTTCAAGTCAATAAGTGGGACTTTAGTCCTATTCCAAAGAGAGATATAGAATTTATGCTAAGATAACAGTCATTCATCAATTAATTAACAAGTATTTGGGGGCTGGCACCTATGCACAATACACTGCCACCTAGGAAATGCAAAGATGGACCTGGCATTGTCTGGTATGTGCCAGTGTACAATTATAAATATTAATTGAATGAATGAACGAATGTTCTTAAGAAAATCATAATACAATGACCAAAGCTTACTTTGTAGTCAGTGTATATAGTAGTTAGAGAAGTTGAAGGCACTGTGTGCATTATCAAATTCCACTATACAAGATAATTTATAAATTGAAATAAAAGTTAGAATGCAGTGGATTATATCTATCTATCTATCTATCTATCTATCTATGTACTGAGACTATAAAATCCAGATAGAAACTGGTAAAAGTCATGCCCATTCTTAATTCCTTCCTAACAAGTAGTAATGGAGGCAGGAAATTTTAGATTATTTAGATCACTGAAAATGATTAAAATTAGAAATTTCAAAAAAAAGTCCTAATTATTGAATTTGTGCTTTTTTTCTTGACACAGACAGTAATTAATCCAGCTTTTGACTATCAATGTTCACAAAACATCAAACAATAAGGATAATTACTTAATATGATTATTTCAAAACAGGTAATGTTTTGTGACAGATGACTATAAAGAGTGAATTGCGCTCTTTTACTCTGTGCAATTTCAGAGATGTCCACATCAAAATAAAAGATGATTTCCACAAACACTATCATGCACTTCAACATTTCTCAATATATGTGTGCGGTTCAAATCTCTAAAACTGGGAACTTAAAAATGGTACAACCACTCTGGAAAACAGTTGGGCAGGCTTCTTTAGAAAGTTAAGCACCACCTACCATACGTTCCAGTCATTTCATTTCTAGATATTTACCCAAGATTTTTAAGAGTATGTATCCATATAAAGACACAAATGTTCATCACAGCTTTATCTGTAGCAGCCAAGTACTGGGACTCAAATGTCCAGTAACAGATGAATAGAAAACAAACCATGATATATCCATACAATGGGCTACTACTTAACAATAAAAAAGAATGAACTATTGATAGACTATGAAAACAATATGGACAGATCTCCAAATAATTGCGCTGCCTAAAAGAAGCCAGACAAATAAGAGTATGTACTATATAACTCCATTTACATGAAAGTCTAAAATGCTAACTAATCTAGAGTGCAACAAGCAGCTCAATGGTTGCCTAGGGTGGGGAGTGAGGA